TATATATATATATATATATATATATATATATATATATAATGTTATTATGTTATATATATATATATAACATAACATTTTCCCTTGACATTCTTTCTTTGCTTGTTGTGGAGATGGAAGACATAGACAGTGGAGCAATCCTTTGACACACATCTGTGATCTACTTTTCTAAATTGAAAAGAGCTAAATTTAATCAAATAAGCTTCAGGGGTGGTGGTGGTTGGGGGGGTGGATAAGGATAAGTAACCACATGAGGCGATAAAATGCGGCTGAATCAACAGCAGAAGGCGGCAGCATCAACATTATTATGGCAGGGCGAATCAAACGTCACCAAGAATCCAAATTATAACCTTCAAAAGGCAGAACAAGTTTACGGGAAAACACCAAACCCTCCTAAAATATAAACTACAGACAGGAACCAACGCGCCAGGAGGCTTATTCTTTCTGTTTTAATCTTTTTTTTCTTTTCGTCTTTTCTTTAATTTAATTTCCAGTTGAGGGAGCACAGTTTCTCACCACCCAGATGAACGCTGTGATATGCGACCAGGACAATCCGATTAGAAGTGGGTTTAGCCTGAGACGCAATTTACAAAAGTTTTTTTTTTTCTTTTCCTTTTTCTAACGGATATGGGTGTTTAGAAAGAGGCGATCAGGTATGCTTCAAAGTGCCGCCCAGTGAGCGCTGTTCATCTGAATGAATTATTTCTAAAGGAAGGGGGCAGGAGAGCGTGAAAAGCTCCTAAATCCAAAAGCAGGAGAAAACAGCAGAAAGCGCAGTGATCTTTGACTTGATCAAATATCTAATTAACATAAATTAGACATTTGGAATGGATGGAGAACATTTTTTAGTGATGGATGAAGAGGTTAAGTTGTTTAATATGTTTTAGGATCTATTTTTTTTTTTTAAGACGCGCGTTAAAGTCAACCTAATTTAGGCCGGAGCCACAGATGGATTTATTCATTTTTACATTTTTCACCTGTAAGGGGTTAATATGAAGCATTAACCGTACCTTTGGCGACCCCGTGTCCATCTCGATCCCCAGAAACGCATTTAACTTTTGCTCTCTCTCCGAGCCTCCGTCCTTCATTCGCTCTCTCTGTAAGTCCGTGCGTAAAGGGCTCCGATCAGCGGCTTGGACCCGGCGATTCCCCGGAAAAGCATATTATTATCCTGCATGGGTCCCCCTGCCGCGCTCCCTCTCGTCCTCCGTGCGCACTTTTGTTCGCCGTGTGAGTGTGAGAGTGAGTTAGTGAGCTCCGCCGCTTCCACTCAGCACAGTCCGTGGCGCACCGGGACACAGAAACGCGGCTCCCCGCTTGCACACAGTCTCCGCGCAGCCAGGACGCGCTCTCCTGATCCAACCCTGGCCATGCCGCGGCCAACTGCGTCCGTTCGTGTGCGCAGTAAAAAAAAAAAAACAGGTTTAACTCTTCTTCTGCCTGCTCAGCTCAAAGCTCAGACTCCCTGCGAGCTGCTCTCCAAGATGGATTCAGTTGATAGTGCGACGTGCCTGCTCCGATCACCTCTCCCTCCTCTCCCTCTCCTCCGTCCCTCCGCCCCTCCTCGCGCTGAAGAATGCTTCTCCTGGCTCTAAGCCACAGATCCTCAAACGGCACAAAATAGTTTGCCTCTCAACAGACTCGATCCTGACGCGGTTTTTGCCCAGCCTACCTTACCCCGCAGCGATAACACAGCCTTCATTTGCGCTTTATGCGCAAAATCCAGGCTTTCGACTTGGAGTCACATCCACGGTGATAAAAAACGTAGCCACACAGCAGATTCTTTTATTTCTCTGGATTAGTGGATTTCCTTGGTCTATAATAAAACGTTAGCTGCAGTATTCACCATGTGGGGATACTTTATGATTGCTCCAAACTCTCTTCAAAGTTTTGGTTTTAATAAGTTGATTTGATCAAATAAAATCCTTTGGAACATTCTCAGAGTTTCTTAGATAACAAGAACAACCGTACGCATAAAATAGTTTAACAGAAATTTATAAGAATTTCTGGCTGCATTATTTTTCCTGGTTTGTTCTCTCTCTGCCATGCCAACCTGTGGACCTACAGTTTTATCGCAAATAGATAACCAATACACACCTATGTTGTGTTTTTATATAAGAGGCTAACACAAAACGTGTATAAAATAATGCACTGATGTTTAAAGGTATAAAAACGCTCCTGCAAAGCAAAAAAGTAACCCTTTCAGTTGGAGCTAAATAACAATTGAAAGCTGTAAAAGGGACACTAACCTCAGTGGTTTATAGGCTTTTTTCAGTGTTTATATGTTGCCTAACACCTGAGGGCACCCACTCCCCTCAGCTGGAAATGCAAATAAGAAACAGTTTAGCTTGCAACGGATTTTTTTTTTCACATGTGCCTCCCAAGGAATAGTGCCTGAATGGATTTTACTCTCAGTAAGATTTTGCCCATTCACCTTTTGATGCAGAAGTCTACTTTATGAGTTATCTACCTTTTTCGTGAGGTATATTTCCACTGCCATAATAGTATTTTTATAAAAAGACCCCACAAAAAATATCTTTCCAAGTAGTATTGTCATATCAGGCAAAGAACATTAACGTTAGAACAGCTGTCAATGGAAGATTGTTATTTCTATAGATGTTGTTGCCATCGATGTTGCCATGCATACTATTATCTCTCATTTTTCATGTGCCGCTCAAGAAAGAGCAAAAGCACCTGTGTCAAGAAGCTCAGCTCTGTCTACTTCATTCAATGTTTTCGCTTCAGCCAAATGATGCATTTATTTACCCCAGAGGTTGTTTACCACATGCTGGGTTCAGATTACAAGTCTCATAACCAGTGACATCAGAATCTGCTTGAGCAAAAGTTTGAGCACAAAATAAGGAATGTGACTTACTCTTACTCAATAAAGGCTTTTTGAATAAAAAAAAAAGAGTTTTTAATTAACAAATGCAAATATAATGAAAGGGTAAAAACATAAATATAAATGGTATAGATCGTGACACTGTTATCAGTTCATCGGAATGACAGCCTTGGGGAAGAAACTGTCTCTGTGGCAGCTGGTTTTAAATATTACTCTGCAGCTCTGACCTGAAGGTAAAAGTCTAAACAGTATATTTTAATTTTATTTATTCGTTTATTTGATAGGGACAAGTATGTTTCATGCATCATGTCACACACTACAACATTTTAGCTAAGGCTAATTCTCAATGTCTGTCCCCAGTTAGGCTTTTACCAAACACAGTGACTGTACACAAAATGTGTGGATTTGATAATTGGTTTTCTAAGTGACTTGGCTAAATTGTCATTAGTGAAAAAAGGCAACAATGATGAACATTTTGTATTAACAAACTGTAGCTAAATACTCAGAGGTTGTAGAGTACTTTGCATTTAGGTGATTTAAGGAAGTAAAACATTTCTATGGTTTTAATGAACAGCAAAACAGCAAATGTTCAGTTATAAAACTGAGGCTAGTGAAAGATCATGGAATCATCTTGCATTTTTTTAAACAGTCCTCCAAAGCAGAAACTAGGTTCTTAGAACGCCACAATCCTCATCTTAAATCTAACAGTGAGGAGGTTGAAAAAATAACTAAAAAGACCACTGCAATTAAAAACAGATTCAATGTTATGTATTCAAACTTATTGGGAAATAGATATAAAAATATTTAACACTGATCCCAAACATTCATAGCTCAAACTTCCACTATGCTTTATGATGGATGAATTCAATATTTCAAACTAATTATGATGCATGTAATCAACTATAAACACACACAACCATAGAGCAAAACGCTTCTTCTCGTTTTCTCCAACAAATCCAAAATAAAATCAAATAAAGGGAAGAAATGTGAACATTTCAAATTTTATTCAACTAGTTAAAACCAGAAGTGGTGTTTAGATAATAACTTTTCATCCCAGGATTTATTTTTTTTCTGAACATTATCACACAGTTTTTGTCATTGTTATTCAGGTATCAAACAAGTGCATGATTCGTTTTGCTGTTCCTTTTCATAGCCTGAGTTTTACATCTTGAAATAAAATGTAGTGACTTTTGATTGAGTCCCCATTCATCTCAGTCATTATTTTAATTGTTCCCAGAAAAAAAGGCAAACACCAGGAAGCAATTACAGCCTCAGCGCTGATGACATTTGTCTGGTAAATTGTTTGTTGCAGCACTCTATGTTCTCTCATGTGAAGAGGGTCACTTTATACTCTGACAAACTGATAACCGCCTTATCTCTTCACCTGTCCACATTCTATACTGTCCTGTCTGTCTGTTACACTCTTTGTGTTCCCTGAAGCTCCGCTTCACCCTTGCAGCCTCCAGTTCTTCTTATAAAAATAATGCATTTGTAAAACAACTTACACATTTCTGATGTCTTGGCCAGATCTTTAAAAAAAACTGAGTTTAGTCAAGATTCTTTTCTAAAATGTGTTTGCATTAAGTAAAAAAATAGATATTAAATAAAAAAATGTATCACTAAGATAAAAAAAAAAAATTAGATAAAAAAATAACAGCCTGGTGTTGTAAATATGTAAACATGTAAGATATAAGAAATTATTTGAATTAAACTTATAGAGAATGCATTTTTTTCCCCCATTTTGCTGTATAAGCTTCACAAAGCACACAGGGCTGGAGCCCTGCATGCGAATGTTTTAGGAAGCCGGTGGTAAAACATTAAAGCCATAAGTTACACACTGGCTCTGTTCAGTACGCTCAGGGGATTTACTGTTACAGCCTTGGTCTTCTAATTTATGATTAAGAGCCAAATATTTGCTAGTATTTGACACTGCTTAAAACCCTAATGGTACTAACATGACTCTGATCATATCATTAGCATTTTTCATCATGCCATATAGAGCCTGGGTGGATTTTAAAATGTTGCCCATTCATCTTTTGATGCAGAAAATTGCTTTATGAGTTATTTGCATTTTTTTTTTTTGCGATTGTGACTCTTAATTGTGCTATTTCTCATCAGAGGTGTATTTCCAGTGACAGCAAATAAAGCTACTATTTTTATGAATTTTTTTTTTTTTATGTAAGTTCAACTCTTTTTAATTAAACTTATAAAAAATATTGTTTTTTCTAAGAGGTACAGTAGTATTCACCAAAGTACTTTGTTGGAAGATGGTTGTATTTCTATAGCTGCTGTTGCATTGATGTTGCCATGTATTTATTATCTCTAGTAATTGGCTTTACATGGGTTTTATGAGAAGAAATATTTTGTGCAGTATCTTAAGTTCTGGGAAATGGCTTTAAAGAACCTTTTGGCATCTTAATTTTTGTCATATTTCACCTTTAATGACCACCTCACCTTGAAAGTTTTATATTCTATGCACAGTTTATGAGGATCCATAAACTGTGAAATAATAATTAGCTAAATTATTTAGATTTTTTAGGTTAACCTTGAGATATTTGGAGAAGCTTCTTGCATTCAGTATGTTATGGGGATTAGTTGAAGTACAATATACCCTTTCTGTAGTTTTCATACTAAAGGGCTGGTTATACTCCCATTGCAGTGTGTCGCAGTGAGCTTGTCGCAGATATTTTTGATTTATGCCCAATATTAAAGCGTGGTCTGCGCTATGTTATTCCACATCACAATGCAAGAGGGACAATCAGGAACTAGCTGTGGGTCTAGATACGGCCGAGGAGGTGAGGAAGTCGGGGCAAGTTTGTTCGACAACGGAGGGATATGAGGGCGAAAAAGAGCAGAGATCCAGGTGGAAAAAGGGTCCCAGCATTCTTGCACACCTCACTCTTCTAGCCGGTCCATCTTCACGAGTCGCTTTCCACAATGGCGGTCATACAAACAAAACAAGCTGGTTACGTACAGTACCAAACAGGAAATACGCATAGTGTAGAAAGGATGTAGAATTGACCAATCAGAGGCCTCCTGTCTGCGGCACTGTCTGCGGCCACCTACAATTTATAAAATAATTTTATAAAAAAGAGGTGCACCAGAGTGACTGTGGCATGGGCGGGGGCACATTTGCTTTCACTGCGACACACATGCAGACAACTTAGTTTCTGAGTGTAAATCAGGCTTAAGGGATCCTATGTGCTGTAATTATTAGTTTGAGAAAAAATCTGTGAGAACATGGCCTAGCTAGAGAACAAATCACCTTCAATATTGTAGTAAAAAAAGTAATTTGTAATAGCCTGATCCCCTCAGCCATCACCTTTTTAAACAACAGGCCCCGTTTAGTGTATCATGTCTCGTATCG